TTAATTTTATCCCTCATTTGTCCTCATTATTTAATTACCCTAAATCCCCTTTTTAGGAAATAATAATAATTAAATATTGAAAGGTCACAGTTTTAAGAAAATACGGTTCCGTTTGCGGTTTGTCGATTCCGCGTTGCTAAAAATCGGCTGGCACCCGAAATACACGAAGTAAGGATTGGATGAGCTGCTGATTGTTCCCGGAGTCCAGTTTTAGCGTTATGGTTTTTGGCGTTTCAGACTTGTCGGATTANTTGTATAATCGAGAATTTTGGGTTAGGGTTTATTGAGTATTTGTTGAGGCCAAAGAAAAATCATTACAAATTTTGACCTCTGGAGTTCGAATATGCTATTTTTACATCATGTCCGTATGTATTGTAACGTGGTAATTCAGATGTTCGACCATTCAGCGGTTTGAGGGGATTTCCAGACGAGAGATCGCACCTTGGGCTGAGCGCGAGTTATTCAATAATTTTTTTTGGGACCATATATTTTACGATTGGTATTATTTTGATTTATATCGATGCATGGAATCGCCGCCCACCGGATTACATCGTGGGATGGAGTCTGGATTCTTGGTGGGAGCTTTCATCTGGGTCTCAATTGGTTGAGACGCCGAGATTTTGTCGGACCAGGAAATTTGAATGGTCCCACACGAGAGTGGTTCACAAAGAAAATGGAGTGGTGGCGCCAGCGTACGGAGTCGGTAACTGGGAACCCGGCTGACGATCTTCTTTCCGAGACTGGGAGATTCTGAATTGACTTTAGACGCTCGGAATAAAGATGATTGTCTATGGACACAGTCCATAGCGCCACGAGTTTCACGCCTTTTGAAGTCCTCTACGGTAAAAAGATCAGACTACCTTCCAACTTCTCCGACCCAGACAAAATCGAGACCTACAGTGACTACATGATTGATTTCGTCCAAAGACTGGATCGAATCCATCAGATAGCCGCAGACAATCTCATCGGCGCGAAGATGAAATCGAAGGGGCAGTACGATCAAAAAACCCACCCGATGGAAATCAAAATCGGTGATTTCGTCTGCGTAGAAAAGGAACCCAGATATGGGAAACTAGATCAGCAGTATGTTGGCCCCTTTGAAGTAGTAGGAATAACCGAGAAAGGGAATGTCATCCTGGAGACAGAAGATGGCAAGAGACTCGAAAAACACCCAAACAAGCTGAAGTCTGCCCCTAGGGGCAACGATGATGAATGAACTCAAGATTTCACTCGGTAAACTCCTCCATTTCCAATAAAACTCAGAATTTCCTAAAAAATTGAAATATCGTTGTGTAATAGAGACTCTACTCTACGGGGTCCATGCGGACACTTTCGGAGTATCAACCCTTATTCCTGCCCTCGGACGTCAAGACGAACATAAATTTTTGAGTAGTCTCTATTTCCCACTAAAAGAAGAATTTCATGGAAAATCGAAACATCGTTCTGTAGTAGAGACTTTACTCTACAGGGTCTATGCGGATACTTTTGGAATACCACCCCTTGATCCTCCCCTACGACGCCACATACAAAAAATAAAATTTGAACAGCCTCTATTCTCCATAAAAATCAAAATTCGGGAAAAATTAAAATGTAATTGAATAATAGGGACTCTGCCCTACAGAGCCCATGCGGACACTTTCAGTATACCATCCCTTACTAGCAACATATTTAGGCTCAGAGTCACCTAAAAAAAAAAAAAAAAAAAATTGGGGGGGAGTGACCACTACGAGAATGTCCTTGCTTGTCTTTCTTTTACCTTTTTTTTTCCCCTTCCACCCTCAAAGAAAGGTTGAAAATAACTAATATAACACTTCGAAATTCAAGTATTCAAACACAATAGTATGTACGGTATAACATAAAGGAGAGGCGAAAAAGGAATTTGCTGCGTCTGCAGACGCCAGTCAGTCTCCCGGCTCAGCGCTTAACGACTCATACCTCCACTTTAACTCTTCCTTTCCCGCCTCCCTCTTTGTAAACCATATATCATCAAGATCATGTTTATCAT